TGGGCTGAATTGCACAAAACGCATGATCGCACCGGCTAGTCTGGTGCGCGTTGCTATTTATTATTTATTAGGATACATGCAATCGCTGATAAGCCCAGGAAGTTTTTTGTTTGATGGCGTAAACTGTGGCTCAGGGATGTGAGTACTAGGCATGAACAACTTTCCCCCGTGCTTTTGCCACAAAATCTGTCATTGTGAAAAGGTACTGTAGAATAATAGCGCCCAAACTTCCTTTTCACACTGCAGTTCTTTCGGCTCTGCTTCCTTCGGACCGATACTTTTCTCAATTTTCATCCATAAGTGCAGCTGCAGCAGAAATCTACAAAATCCAGTGCTCGTAGTTCGGGAACACTTGGCTCATTCTGCAGAGAGAAGGAAATTCATGTAAGCTCAGCCGACACGGCCTCTTGGTTTCCCATTGCTGCTTCATCCCTCATCGACCTCTCGGGGCTATTTGCACACACCTGTACCAACGTGCTTTCAATGCAACACAAGGTGCTTCCAGTAACTGCAATGGGGTAAACAGTTGTGGGCCGAGGAATCGCCTGCGCCTTGGAGGCAAGATAACTCATTTACTTCCAACACTGCTTTCAAAATGGGCGGAACTGACCGGTGCTGAGGGCATCGGTCGCAGGTATACGCATGTGTTTCGTTCTTGTCACGGTTGTTGCGTAATGTCTGTCGGTTTCCTGAGTGGCATAAGATGCAAGCTTATCTCTCGAGAGGGCCTGCCTGTGCAAATGGATTTCGAAACTTGCGACCTCGGTCTGTCCGAATGTGTGAAGTTGGAAGCAGAAGCCAGTGCAGAAAGGACAACACCTACAACAAAGAAATATGGTCTGCCACCTGGAAAACAATGCCTCCAAACAGGAATCGAATCGGATCACTAGTTACACGCAGCAGGCATGTAAATGCGCGGAAATGGCTGTTTATAAAGCAACACTGCAAAGATATGTGAAAAAAATACCTCGCGCTGGAAATGCTGAAATTTTTTTTCCACACTATCGCCGTACTACGTTTTTGCGACGTGCAGGGGAACCAACATTCTAATTTTTGTGCTTTTGTTCATACTATTAAAATGTACGCCGTCTATGAATCCAGGCTGGAACGCACCCGACGGGCCCATGCAATCATGCGTTTTTGCACCGGACTTGAATTACCCAGGTCATTAGCTGCATGAATGACTGTTGCTTTACACCTACCTTCTGCGGTCACTAGCATAAATCACCATAACTTTTGCAAAGTAAATGTACAATTTCCATTTAACAGTCGTTCTTTAAAAGTAACCTAGTTGTTCAGT